TGTTTAAAAAAATAATTTTATTGTAGGTTTTTTAGTAAAGTAATACTTTATTTATTATTAAATTAAAGTGTAATAAAATGATTAAAATAGTATAAAAAGTTAATTTAGATCATTTTTTTATTTAATATAAAAAAGTTATAAAGATTAGTTAAAATTTGAATGATTTTTATTAGAAGCAATTATTAATTTTATATTGGTGTACATACAAAATTAAGTAATTGGTGATCCTTTATTTCTTGTTTGTCATTTCAAAAAAGATTTAAGCTTTTCCAAAGCATTCTGAGCAGTTGGCCTATTATCGCTTTGCAATTCTTTCCCAAATTCAATAAGATTCGATGAAAGTCCAAAAATCCATTTACTTGCTGCAGTTATTAGTTCCCCTACACTCCAGATATCAACTTCCCCGTGGTGATCCTTCTGGAACACTTCTGGAGCATGATTTTCTGTTGCGAGATGAGTTGCTGGTTGGGTCGGAGGTCCGTCAGCTTCATCCCAGTCTATAAGAATCCATTTTGACGGTTCATTAGATGCACCTGGTAGTCGAATAATGTTGGGCCATCGGATATCCTGATGGAAGATAGGATCGTCACCACCATGCATAGCCTACATTGAACATCGCGGATGAGAAGTATTCAGCAAATATTTATCTGACAATTACAAACATACTTACCACAAGCGCCTCGAGAATACAGACAACAGCTTCAAGGAGTTCCTTCTGATTCTTTGGTTTTACACTCATTCCTTTCGGACCAAGATACACCACACCTAACTCATTTTTAGCATGAAGGAGATGATCAACATTTGGAACTCTCTTTTTTTTAATATGTTGTAAACATTCCTGAGCTTTTCAACTCGCTCATCAGATTCTGTACGATTTGTGAAGGTTTTTTTAATGTTTTTAGCGCACACTATGATGGTCTGCCTCTTTCTGTAATATGATGGGAAATAAGATATCAGCATATAAATATTTCAAAGACAAATTTTTCAACTTACCTAATAATAGGTCGGAATTCGGGTGATTCATGCCATCCGATCACATCCTGAAGTGACTTGATTAGAATACTTAAATTAATCATTCGTCGCAGGTTAAGGATACGACCCCTTCTTCGATTTAAGTTTGATTTCACAATGTTAATCACATCTGGATTGTAGCCATGCAGAGGCCGGCAAATGGCAACAAATGTCACATCTGATCTATTGGCATAGTAGCCTGTAACAGCAAAAAATAACGTTTAGAACGTAATACATTTTGAAATTGCACGAGATCTTACCTAAAACATACGGAGCTGGATCGTAGATCCAATAAAGTTTGTCCCGGAGTTCGGCTTTTGCATCTTCATCATTGATGGATGATTTTTCCTCCCCTCTAAACAGACAAACATGATTAAGGATAAAACCAAAGTTAGGCCATTTGCTAAAGATACCCATATGCTGTGAGGAGTTTCGGATAGAAGTGCCGTCGGGAATAAAGAGCTCCAGAGGGAATCTGATGTTGGCATCCCAAAACGAGACATAGGAATACTCAGTTTTCTCTCGTGAAGGTGGATCGTTCCAAATTAGCGGGCCAATCATCTTAGAAGTGAATCCATAAGCATTCTCGGTTTCGCTGACCCGGAATAAAATATTGAGGTCTTCTGATGTGCACATGTCTTCCATGTTTCGAATCAAAAAACTATCATATTCATGTTGTAGAAGAGGTATCTTCATACTGTCTGGGATAGGCTTTTCAAGGAAGTCGGCAAGTCCGTTAACTTCAGGGAGCATCACCCTAGGACTTTTCTCAAAAGCATCAAGAACTTGGGCACTAATATCTTGAACTATAAGTGTAGAGCGGAAACAATTGTAAAGAAAGGTGAGAATGAAATCGCAATACAAATCAATAATGATTTCTACTACACATTCCTACTTTCCGTGGCATTCCTTTTTTTTCTCGAGCTCTAATTGTTATAACTTTAAAGTGGGAAAGACGAAGAATCTTGCACAATCTAAGAATTCATCATGCACTGCGAGTTTATGCGCCTTAGTTATCATTGGTTGCACTCTGCAACAATACTGCAATAGCGAATTGTTAAGGTTCCTAACACGGTATTTAAACATCATCGATTAAAACTACTAGTACCAGAGAAAAATTAACTCTTTCTAAATGGATAATTGCTAATTCAACGATATGATATCATAATCAACTTGAACGAAGGTATTGCTCGGCATTACGTTAATGCAAATTAGCATGATCTTAGTGCCGATTTTCATATAGTCACGCCCTCTACAGTCACCCAATTTACCAAGTACGAAGCTACTTACCGGATGAAAAAGACGAAGAGTAGTAACTAAAGGGGTTGACTGTATTTAATAGTAAAATGACAATCACAAACTTTATTCACTATATTTTTACATCACCCTCCTTACCCAATATCCATCTTTCCCGAGAGGAAATTAAGATGTCCGGTGTGGGACTCGAACCACACATCATTGCCAAGGATCCTCAGAGTTTTTACGGGTCTTTCTCCTATAAATTTCTTTTAAATAGACATATTGAAAGAAAAGATGCGACCACACGCACATCACACGCCGTGAAAGCGCATGTATAAGAGCAGCCATTGTATCTATTCTTAAAAGCTCGTACACTCAAATAATAAAGGGATTTAAAAGGAGCCGAAAAAAATAAAGATCTAAAAGAACCAAAACATAAAATTGTGTTCTCACTTTACATAACAATAATAGAAATGTGTACGAGAAAGAGGAAAGAAAGCGAGAACAGGATTCTTTGAACTAGTATGATCGTTAGATATTTGATTACTTCGTCATCGAGTTTTTTTGTGGTTTATGGTTTTTTTTTGATTTTTTTTTGATTCTTAGTATACGAGGAATGTGTAATCATTCCCAGTTTATAGTGCCCAATAGTAGCGACGATCGACAAGTGCAAGATTTATTGACGAATCTGTTCCGGAGAGGGATTATGTGATTAAGACTTTTTTTTTGATCGTATGTGAAATA